ATTTTTGATAAAGTCTGGTATGACAAATGACCTGCTCGGCTCTCGTTCGGTATATATATGCCTCCCTTCAATTAAGGTAGTATAACGTGGGGGATCGAGAAAAGATTCGAAGATGCCGTTCGCATATGCAGGGTGTCGGGCATCGAAAGATTTTCCGCCTCAGAGGGCCGCCGAGCCGCCGCCCCCGGAATTCCCTCTTCAGGTGTCTCCGCTGATCTTACTTCTGCAGCTGTGGCAAGCCGGCATGGGTGCAATTGCCACATCACCATCTTCTCAGCCAAATATGAGAAAACATGCAGGCGACAACATATTATATCAGGCCGCCTTGCGATGTAGCCTTGGTGGCCAACTGAACTCGTGGGCCACGATCCTGCCTTCAGCCATTTCCACTACCGAGCTTTTACTTGGTGTTGTATACATCGCTTCTTTTATGAACAATTAGCCTCCGCTTCCAATAGGATGTCAACAATATCTCGTTCGGGTTCACACCAGAGCCTCAGTACCCGGACCGATGCCAATGTTTCATCATGGAAGGCGCCTAACAAGATTTCTTCTTTATTTATAGCTTGCGCCATCAGCTGTATCGCCTCGGCATGTTTCCCTCGGCGTCGCTGAGCCAAAGCACTGAATTTCAGCGTGTAGGCGTGATCGGAACCGAACGTACGGGTGCACTCGTCAATTATCTCGTTGTCCAGTTTCTCCGCTTTATTGTCGTCGCCGAGTCCTTTATAGATAGTGGACAATTGTTGCTTCGAGCCGAGGGTCTTAAAATGACTAGGTCCATCTATTCTCGAGGTCTCTTCCAGAATCTGTAAGCATAGTCCCTCTGCTTTTTGCCATTCATCTAGCTCGAAGTAGATGTTTAGCAGGAGCTGTTGGCAATTTCGAGTTCTCTCGTCATCTAGGCCCAGTTTATCTTCACAAATTTGAAGCGTTTGTATGCCTAGTGCTTTCCCCTCAAGCAGTTTTCCCTGAGTTTCGTGAAGTGACGCGAGATTTATGGCCAAGTCCAAAGTCCAGGGATTATCTGGCCCGAGATTTTTTTGGTGCCATTCCAAATCCTTGATGGAATATTCTTCAGCCTCATCCCATCTGCCCAGATCAGTGTAAAGCAGGCCCAAGTGGCCCATGGCACATACCGACTCCTCATGTTCTTCTCCGAAGACGGACTTGGCTCTTTCAAGAACTTTTAATAGCAGGCTTTCCGCTTCCTCGAAACGACATTGTTTCCGGTAAGTCGCTGCCAGACATCTTTCACTCCTCATGGTAATGATATCGTTCGGCCCGTAAAGCTTTGTGTAGGCTGTAACAAGAAGCGAGTTCAACTCTTCGGTTTCGGCAAGTCGATTTTGATTGGAGTAGGTTGAGGAGAGACCTGCAATGCTCTCCAATGTTTCTGGATGCTCCAGACCAAATTCTTTCTTATTCTCTTCCACGATGAGAAGATCCAACTTCTCTGCCTCATCGTTACGGCCCTGCGACCACAAATAGTATGCTATCCCTTCTTGAAGATAAAGCCTCCTTCGGAGCAGCTTCCCATGCAGCTCCGGTATGAACCTGAGGACTGATACAGCATGAGGCAAATAAGCAGCGCAGATAGCCCAATTTTCGTACTCAGCGTTCGGGTAGACTTCAGCGAGAGTATCCATGGCTTGAATTGCTCTTTCGTCGAAGGTGTGCTCAATGATTAGCCATTTCCGCACAGTAAGCTGTACGAGCCGGTGGATAGAGAAGTTTTGGCCCTTTCCTGTTGCTATTATAAGCGAGAACGCCTTAAGTGTACCCAGCGCTTTTGTCAGGTCAAGCGGCCCGACAACCCTCTGTTCCATCAGACTTGATGGGATGTTGTGCTGGTCAAGGAAAGCAACAAAGGAAAGAGCCTCGATGGCGTTCGGCTCCTTTGTATTGATATGATCTAGAGAAACGATCAGAGTGGTAGCAAGAGCATTAGGTGTTTCGCTGTCTCTTCCTAACGTCTCGAAGGGCTCGCACAGTAAACTCATTTTGGTCTCGTCACTGTCATTATGCAGTTTGATGTATTCGTTCACAGTAAGCACATTTTCTTCCATGAATGAAGCGGCTTGCATAATTGCCAACGGTAAATAGTCGAGCATCTCCGCGAGCTCATCCATGTCCGACTCTGTCGGATAATTGCCACTCAAAGCAGATTTGATCAAGCATCTCGACTCTTCTTTGGTCATAGTATCCACCTCGAGCATGTTTCGGCCAATACCCCTAACGAATTTGACACCAGCAGCTCGGTTACGGGTCGTAATGAGAATAGAGCCATATGGACTGTCGGGAAGGAACTGGACGATGGAAGAATCTTCTTGCAGCTGCTTATCTGAGGTCGAGGTTTTTTGTCCTTGACGCCCATCCGACGTGAAGAGTGAGGCTTCGTCAGCGTTATCGATAATCAGCAACCAGCGTTTACACTGCTTTTCTAGCCATTGCTTGACAAGCATGAGGTCTTGTGGTTTATCTTCTGGACTCTCAATCCCGCATTCCTTGATCAGATGATAATAACTTTCTTGGAACCGGTTGATACTGTTTGCGTGGATCCAGAACACCGACGCGTCGGGGTGGGCTTCATGGACTTGGTGCGCCAGCTCAATGGCTATCTGGGTTTTACTAGTTGTTTTATCAGTCAAAAGCTTCCTGGTAGAAACCGCAAAACCTACCCGACACCTCCGAGACCATACAAGGCTACTCTCGAATGGACCTTTCGGAGTGGCATGATACGCTCCATAACCTGACTTAATGTATGCTCGCGGCCGACAAACCCGGGATTACGTGTATAAGGTATCATCCCTGTCCGGTTGGTGTAAGCCGGTTTCCAGTATTTCATATATGTAGTAATGCATAGGACCTACAGAAGCAAGGGTCGGCTTCATCGGCCACGAGGGTGGACTCTGATTCATCAACGCAACTGGTTAACTGGCGCGTCTCCGTCCCTGAGTTTGCCATTTCGACAATTAGCGAAGACACATATTGATATCGATCGTCTTTGTCGCAGTGAAATCTGCAAATCTCTTCATGGTCGGCATTCAATGCGATCGCTTTCTCACGGGAGTCAGGCAAGCCAAGAACAGCAGAATCTTTTTCCACAACCTAATTCGAGCAGTGTGTCTTGTTAGTGCCAACATCTTTAGTTCCAACATCTAGTCAAGTCCTGGAATACTTACTATGCCGATGCTTTTGAATGGTAGGGTCTCATAAAAGCTCAGATACTTGTAGTTTTCAAGAAGCTTGTCAAAGTTCGCAGACAGCTCCAGGGCGTAAAGGCTGCCTTTTGAAAGGGCCTTCAGTAGGGTATTGCTCGCTGTTCCTAGTAGAGCCCTCACGAACTTTGCAGCCACGCCTCCCACACGTGCAAGGTGCGTCCCTCGATGTGGTGTACCGAAGAAAACGATTCCAAAGGTCGACGTGCATATCGAGCCATACGTTGCGCTGAGTTTGGCTTGTACAAGCGCCTGGTATTGAACCATAAGAGACAGCCCAGAAACAACTTCTAGCCGAGAAGCTTCATACCTCTTTGACAACAATCCCTCCCAGGCTATGGGCAATGAAAAGCAGGGGTCGATGTTCACACTTCTGCAGGCAATGTAAGCTTCTATGACAGATCCAGTGGTACAGTTGCTGTTGATTACCTCTCTTTCCAGTCTTAAGCGGTCAAGGAGGACATGTGCCTGCTCTCGCACTCCAGCTGCAGATGACTGGATTGCAACTTTAGAGTTGTAACTGAAGAGGAAAATCCTGGCTCGTGGCAGTTGCTTGGGAAGAAAATCCCTGAGCCATAGCTTTCCATTCGACTCCCAGGTCTTCTCGGCATGATTTTTCTTGCTTTTGGGGTTAAGCCCATGAACGGCGACAATGCTACTGTCGGTTAGCAAGCAGACATAGTGCCGGTGAAATGACTTACTCGATATTGGGATCTGCGCCGGCGGACAATATACGCAAATAATACTCGCCCTAGAATGCTATTAAACCCTTTTCTATCGGCATGCGAACAAAGACCCTACCGTCATGATATCAATCCTGCTCTTTCACTGGGCTTGATTTACTACCAACCCTTTCTGGGTGGTGAATTGTTGCGTTGCCCTTCATAATTCGGAATGACCCTTAAGGCTCGGGGCCTCCCCTCATTAAGGCCGTTGCGACCTTCCTTAACTAATCAATGCAAGCTGCTGCGCCGCGTATGTTCAGCTTGTCAAGGGGGTGCCGTGGGCGGCTGTGTTGCTAGCATGATTGGACAAAGACATGTAGCGTCCAACATCCCTGTAGATCTGCTCTTTTAGCACGTTGCATGTATGAGCAACGGGGCAGAACACTTAACACTTAGACTACTGTAGGTCTTTTGAGCCCCCCGCCCCCACGAGGCTCCTGAATATTTCATCTATAGATAATCTCCAAAATTATAGTAATTGTAAATTTTGTAGAGGAGGGTGGGTGTAGATGCTCGAAAGTATGGCAGAGATGCAACCGAATAGGAAGGTAGGACTAAGTGGGAGGAAGGCACTAATCTAGTATTAGCGTTGTTTTGGAGAAGGACGGCTGCAACTAAACACCCCAAACACTGCCACTCCATCCGACTTATTTGTCTATAAGCCGAGATACCCGGAGTGGGCGCAGTCTGACTACAATTGTTCTCGTAGCAAGCGCTTACACGGTGCATTTCTATAAATATTTGTGGGAAGTACTGGGAAGTACTGGTGGCAACCGAACTGGTAACACCTCGGCGCTAGCCTCGCTCTGCCACGCTTGAACACAGGCATTTCCCGTCCTTGTCTATTAGTAGATAGTATAGTATGATAGTAGCACCACCAAATCCGTGAAGCGGTGGATGCTAAAAGAGCAATTTTTGGTGGACTGAAACCTGACATCCCACTCACTTCTCTGGTTCAGCTTCTATCTTTATTCTTCGATATGAATGGGTACGCGAAATGATGGCTAATGCTAAGTGGAGGATCCTAAGCGCTCTGTATTCGTGTAGGCTTTTGACTCGGGAGGGATCCATCAGGAAGTCCAAGGCGAGAGAAACACTGAACGAGTCAGGGACCTGGAAAAGGGCAAATGCCGCCGAAGTAGGTAACGAGTGTTTCTAAGGGCCAGAATGAATGGCTATTGTTCATTCAAAATCGTGTCGAAAGTGTTTCAGCCTCAGGTTCGCGCCTATTGTGTCTATTCTTGTCTTTGTTGGGCATTTCAGTCCCGCTCAACCACAACACTGTCTGGCATTTGTAGATCTGACAGATAATAACTTCCTCTGGCTGTTCTTCATCCCCTCGTTAACTCTTTGGGTCTGCGTTCTTTCTTTAACTCCCGAGTTGACCTCGTGGTTCTTTCTTTCCTTGCTCATAAGCCATATCAATTAGCACTTTGCTGCTGGTCAGTCCCTACTCCTCATTCCTTTCAGTCTACAAGTTTTTGTTGCAGAGTATAAAGGTGCATCACAATCAGAACGGATATCCAACTCGATAATTTCTTAAGATACAATCACCTATTTTCATACTGGTCACAAAAAGTTCAAGCTTTCCGGCAGCTGAGCCACTAATCTAACATTAAAATCATGATGGCTTCGTTGAAAGAATCTCTGGCTGGCCCAGGATACGTGATTCTCAACGCCATTCGTGTCATCAACATCATTGTGTTTCTGGACATCATTGCTGCCAGTGTGGTCATGCTGGTCAAGATTGACTTGTTGACGGCGTTTTTCTTTTTTGAGGCTGTCTCTCACGTTGCCACTGCAGGCGTTAGTAGTAAGTAGCCTTTGCTCCAGATACTGTACTAGATGGCTAACAATTTGAAATGACAGTATTCCTCATCATCTCCGAGCTTCCCTTTCTCCGCGGTTACTTCGACCGTAACTGGCCATTATTGGGGCAGAACTCCGGGTTCATCACTTTGGCGATAGCGATGCTGATACTGGGAGTTGGAGTGCTGGGAGACCTAAACACGAACGCCACCAGCCAGGAATCTCTTGGGATGGCATTCTGGAGGATTGTGCTCTCCGCTGGCATTCTAGCCATGATCATGAGCGTGATCAACGTGATTGCGGTAAGTCGAACTTCGGGTTTAGTGAGCGCAACGCTGATAGTATGGAATACAGAGCTTTATCTTCGCCGACAGCGATCTTGGTGTCAGTGCACGGCATGTGCGGGTCTATGGAGCAGTGGCGCCCCAGAAAGTGATGTCGCGCAATGGCAGCCAGCGTTCATTCCAGCTAAGTATGAAGAGGGAGGAAACTTTGCCTACCTACAGTCCACAAAGCTCGTTGAAAAGGCAGATGTCTATGCGACACACGCGATTCCCTTTGAAGATATCTTCCCCAGTCAATCCTATCAACATAAACGATGCGGCGTCATCGAAGTACTCGAGGGACTCCACAGGAATGACTATTCCCGATCTTGCTCATCACCCGGCAATGCAGTCATCGCATGTCTAAGAAAACAAATTGAGACAATGTGCTTTTGCGACGACACGACAAGGAGTTCAAATGCGGGGGATATCATTTGCGTTGGCGTTGACAGTATGGCAATTAGCGAGCATAGGCAATGGGGATGTTCTGATATTCGGGTTTTGCATTTCTACTTGCAATATCAATCGTTTAATCATGTTTCATTTTACCACAAATCATTGATGGAATTCAAGTCCTACTTAAATATGAGTCGACGATCTTCTCCATACCCCGTAAAACCGGATCGGAAGTTTATTGTGTTGAGCAGTGTCCCTGATCCGCGTGCCTGACCAGTAGGAAAACATGCTTTAGCGCCCACCGGCGATAAGATAAGCCCGCTTGAGGCCAACTTCCGCTTCTTGTACCGTCCTGAATCTGGATATCCCATTACCGCTGAACTGCAATGCGCCATCGCCTTTCTCCGCAAAGATGGGTGAAATAACGATCTCATTCTCAACGTACGCACTCATCCTACCAGACCCTCCCATCCCGACTCACCACTAACCTCTACACCACCCTCATCAGGATCAAATCCGTCCTCATCTTCTTCGCGCCCATCATCATCCCCCGAGCCATCAACTACTACCGCACCCTCCGCGTCGCCCTCTCCAGCCGCCCATCACCACGCCCTCTTCCCCAAGATGCCAGTCGAGCCTTGAACGTCCTCTTCCTCACCATCACCCTCTTCTTCTGCCTCAGCCTGCCCTTCAACCCACACGCGCCCAGTCCCAGCATCTTCACCCTCACCAACTCCCGCCTCACCACATCAACAGACATCATCTTCTCGCGCCTCGCGCGTCTCCGCCCCAATGAATCCCTCACTCCATTCGACACTCTCCTCAAATCGAAACTCACCTCCACCCTCGCCCGCAAGGTATACCTCCGCTTCGGCCCGGAAACCCTAACCAACTGCGCGTTCTGCTCCCTCGACAACCTGACCACCTACGCCATCTACCACCTCCCCTTCAACGTCCTCCTCCCTCACCTCTTCCACATGGCCACAATCGGCCTGATAACCTCATCGACCTTCGCCGGCTCCGACGCAAGTAAATGGCGCAAGGAGTTCTCCATCATGGGCATTGCATTCACTCTCCTAGACATCTACGTGGTCATGTCCTACGACCCGATGGCGTACGCGTCCGCGGCTGTGCGCGCAGGCGTAGCAGTTCCGTCTAGCTCATACTACCAAATTGGTCTCTTGCGTCCGCTGCTATTCGCTATCTTTGACGGGGTATGCGCCCTGCTAATCTGGCTCTCCGCTACACGGAGATTCTTCTTCACTCCGCCGTCGCAGGCAGAACAGGTCGATCAGGTTGTGTCTGCGTCGTTGGGCGCGCTTTCGGGATCTACGTCGAAGTTGCATGCTGTGAGTGTGGCGAGGAATGCAGTCGTCCGGGATAAGATGCTCAGGGATCGGGATGAGGCGTATTGGCGCACGGTGGTCGCTATGAATGTGGACAACCCGGCCATGAAGGCGGGTACGGTTGTAGGCGGGGGAGAGAATGGTGATGAGGAGGGTGCTGTGCCGCCTACGTCGATTTGGGAGGAGGAGGAAGTTGTCCGCGCAATGTCTCGGGCAATGGCCGGGCAGGGGGGTGTAGATTTAGCGAGGTTAGGGATGGATGCGGCGGAGTATGTTAATGGGGTTACGGCTGGGTTGGAGGGGAATTGATAGAGTAGATTAGATTGTAGTTGGGTGTTTTGAGTTATGTATATTGTATGTATGTTTGAGAAGCTTAGCATGTAGATATCTATCTATCTATCTACCTATTTACTCCCGTCTTTAGTTGCTGGAGCGTTGGGTCACATCCATACATAACGACGAGAACAGCAGAGCCATAGTGACCCTACCACAGCACCATACCACACAAACACAGCAAACAATAGCCACTACATACTAGGTGCCCAGCTCCGAAAACAGCTCCATTCTCTTAGTAGTACATCAATATAGTCTAAACAACAACGTCAAAGCTAACCCCCGAAACGGCCAGTCCCAGCCAGGCTGCCAGCAGCCAATTAGCTAACAATTGACTAGCTATCAAGCTAACTAACCATTTAGTTGAGATTTAGGCTGACGCATAACCACCCATCTAACTAACTACCTGCGGTGAAAGAAAGAAACAAAAACCACCGATGCAGCCCAGCCCAGCTCAGCCTTGCCCTGATCCCGGAACAACTACACTAACAACGAGCTAAGCTAAGCTACACAAAGCATCTAACTAGCGGTGGTTCTCGGGGCGCGCGGACGGACAAGTCGAGATCGGTCCACAAAAAGCGAGACATAACTGCTACCGGTCTAACCTTGGTTTGGAATACTTTAGGCAACATTTTTTCCGCTTGAGATGGATGATGGATGAGTGCACTGCCACACCCGTACTCCATAATCCACTCCATAACGGGAGTGCCACAAAAGCATGGACCAGTCATGTCGGCGATTGCGGAGACGGGCTAGTATCTACACGGTCAAAGGGTAACTAACTGCTAAGCAAGTGGACTAGTAGGATGATCAACTAGGCTACTGTGTAAGTAGGTTTCATTGTTGTTGTTGTTGTTGCTCCAAACGGGTGAGATTTTAGTTTTAGCTCATCGGCCGAGCGAGCGAGAGAACGAACGCGCTAATTCTATGCTTGCTTCTGTCGGTCAGTTTTGCTCGGCCGAATTTTGATGATCTGTGTCTTATTCCCCTAATCTTATTCCCCTAATTCCGGGGGGCAGTCAATTGATTCATTCTACTTCAGTTACTCAATTCCCTTCTTCTGAGTGATTGCTGATACGTGAGACAAGAGACATCCTCTTCGGTTCTTGCAGAGGATGGCTGGCTCACTTATATCCTCGCGCTCCCAGGGGAACCAGCCGGAGTCGTCTCAGACGACTCCGTCATGGTTCAAGGAGAAGATCACACCGGGATTGCTCTCCCTCTCCCGGCTTGCATCGGCGCATCCTATACATACAGTGGCTGCTGTCGCCTTGCTGGTTAGCTCTTTATATAGCAGTCTGTTGGAAGACAGTATATTCGACAAGACCAAGTCTGTAGCAAAGGCAGACTGGTCATCACTCACTGCTGGGAGTGGACGACTCTATGTGGGCCCTCAATCCGACTGGAACTGGCAGGCGGAGGTTCCAAACGCTCCAGTTTCCAGCGATGTCGACCATACCGCGCTGTTGACTTTGATATTCCCGGAGAGGACAGACACCTTCTACGAGTCCCCGGCCACGCCCCTGCTCCAGTTGCCGAGCAACCTCTCTGTCACGCCTTTGCCCTCGACATCCAAATCATTCAGCACCAACTCCAAGGAACAAGTTCATGCTTTCTCCCTCCCCTACAGCCAAGCATCCGACTTCCTGGCAATGGTCCAGGAAGTACCGAACAGCAGCCCAGGACAGTGGATAATGAAGAATGCACGAGCACAAACGCAGAACAGTCTAGCAGACCGAGCAAAAGATGCTTGGGTCAGCTTCGTGGACCTCCTCAAGAATACCCAAACGGCGGATATCGCCATTATGCTGCTGGGATATATCTTCATGCATATGACATTCGCATCGCTGTTCTTTTCCATGTATCGCATGGGCTCTAAATTCTGGCTTGCCACGAGTGTTTTGTTCTCATCCACATTTGCCTTCGTGCTTGGACTTTTCGTCACTGTGGAGCTTGGTGTACCCGTCAACATGGTTCTCCTCTCTGAAGGCTTGCCATTTCTGGTGGTCATTGTCGGTTTCGAAAGGTATATCAGTCTAACACGGGCTATCCTAAAGCATGCCATGGATCGCCGCAGCCCCTCGGTTAACACACAGTCCGCCATCGAGTCTGTCATCACCGACAAGGGATCAGAGATCGCTAAGGAATATGCGATAGAGATCGGGATTCTCGTATTGGGAGCTTTATCTGGGGTGCAGGGAGGGCTACAGCAGTTCTGCTTCTTAGCCGCATGGACTTTGTTATTTGATGCCATCTTTGTCTTTACATTTTACACGGCAATCGTCTGCATCAAGCTCGAAGTCAACCAGATCAAGGGGT